CCAGTCCGCTTGTTCACCAGAGCCCCTGATGGTGGGCATGGGCTTGGAGCGGACAGTAACCAGGTCGCGACCCCTGAGTACATCCACCTGAGGTAGAGGAATCACCAGAGGTAATGACAGGAGAGCCTGGTGTGAAGAGGCAGACAGGTCTGGAGGAATAGCAGCTAATCTGTGCGGGTCAGATGGATGGCTGAGCAATAGCGTGGTCAGACGGGCCGGGTCGGTAACGGGCGGACAATGTGGTACAAGACAGCAGGCACAGAGTAATCAGGTCACTCGCCGGGTCTGGTAACAGAAGTTCAGATCAGAAGGGATATCCAGAAGAGTAGTCAAACGAGCCAGAGGGTCAGGGCAGGAGAATATCAGCAAGGTCAGGTTCAAGCAAAGGTCAGCAACAGTCAGGAATCAACTCACAGATCACAGGAACAAGATCAGACCATACGGCAACTTGTGTCTGTGCAGGGCTGGTTTAAGTAGCCCGCCCTGCGCCTGACAGGCGCAGCCTAGGTCCTAGTGCCTGCCCAGCGCCGTCATAGGTGACGGGTGCGCCTGGGTCCTAGTGCCCTGCTGCCTGCATGTCTTGACAGACACCTACACATGTGCAGACCCATGCGTCGCGATGGTCCCTGACATTGCCCCCCCCCCTATGGGCATCCTCCGGGTGCCCAACTCATCTCTCCTCCGTCGGTGGCTACGATGGAATTCTCGGACAAGTCTAGGGGCGTGAACATTTTGAGCCGGCTCCCAGGAATTTTCCTCAGGGCCGTAGCCCTTCCATTTTATCAGGAACTGTGTCTGGCCGCCCCTCTTCCTGTAATCCAAGATTGATTCTACCTCAAATTCCTCCTGTTCATTGATGGTTATGGCTTCCAGGGGTTTGGATCTTCGATCAGGGAAAGGATCCGGTACTGCTGGCTTTAGTAGCGAGACATGAAACACGGGGTGAATCTTCCAGGTCCCTGGTAAACGAAAGTTCATATGCCACCTCATTAATCTTTCGTTTGACCCGAAATGGACTCATAAACTTGGGCCCCAAGTTCCTCGAAGGACAAGACAACTTTAAGTTGGTAGTTGCCAGCCAGACCTGATCCCCTGGTTTCAAGATCAGTTCCCCTCTTCTTTTCTTGTCGAAAGCCCTCTTACTGTCTTCTTGGGCCTTCATGATTGCTTCTTGAAGCACCTTGTTATTGGCAGAAATAAAACTCAGCATATCCTGCGTGGCAGGAACTGGACCTTCAGGAATTAGGTCGGGCAAGAATGTGTGGTGGAACCCATAATTCGCAAAGAATGGGGATTGCCCCGTCGCGGTGTGATTTGCGTTGTTGTACGCGAACTCGGCCAGTGGCAAGAGCGTCAACCAATCGTCCTGGAGGAAGGATGTATAACATCTCAAGTACTGCTCAAGTGTCTGATTTGTCCTCTCTGTCTGCCCATTGGTCTGTGGGTGGGTGGTAGGCAGACGAAAATGATAGTTGAATACCCAAAGTCTCGCATAACGCCTTCCAAAACTTCGAGGTAAACTGGACCCCATGGTCAGAAACGATGTCTACTAGAATCCCGTGAAGCCTTACTATTTCCTTCATGAAAATCTTCGCTGTTTCCAGGGCCGAGGGCGTGCTCCTCAGTGGCAAGAAATGGGCCACCTTTGATAGATGATCAACAACCACGGAAATCGCTGAATGGTTTTGAGATGGGGGAAGCTCCACTATGAAATCCATAGAAATCATCTGCCACGGCCGACTCGGTATAGGTAAAGGTCGTAGTAAACCCCAGGCCTTGCTTCTGGTGGGCTTGTTCCTCTGACAGATGGCGCAGGACTTCACATACTGCTCACAATCTTTGACAATGCTCGGCCACCAGAAGGTGCGCTGGAGCAACTCTAGGGTCTTGGTGATTCCAAGATGGCCCGCTAATAGGTGATCATGACAATATCCTAGAACTGAAGTTCGGACTTCCTCGGGTACCACAACTCGCCCTTCCTTCCAAAGGAGACCCTCCTTGTTCTGTAGAGAAACCACGGGTGAGCTTGCCATTTCCACGGTTGCAGACTGAAGCCTACAGCAGAGCTCCGTTTGGAGGGCAAGAAAGTTCCCAGTGGACAGAATCGTGTTGGGCTTAGTGGTTTCTTCTGGATACTCAAACATTCGGGAGAGGGCGTCCGGTTTGGTGTTCTTGGACCCGGGCCTATAAGTGATGTGGAACACGAATCGGGAAAAGAAAAATGACCATCTAGCTTGGCGTAGTCTCAGGCGTTTGGCTGTCCTCAAGTATTCCAAATTCTTGTGGTCCGTAAAGATTAGGATTGGATGCGTGGCCCCCTCCAGCAGATACCTCCATTCCTCTAGTGCCGTTTTAATGGCCAAGAGTTCCCGGTCGCCGATATCGTAATTTCTTTCGGCGGATGTAAGTTTCCTAGAAAAGAATGCCACTGGGTGCATGAGCTCCTTGGTCCCTTTCCTCTGGGACCACAGGATGGCCCCTGCCGCGTTCTCAGACGTATCGACCTCCAGGATGTAGGGAAGCGAGGAATCTGGATGACTCAGAATGGGGGGCGTAGTGAACAGTTTCTTCAGGGTCTCGAATGCGGACTGTGCCTCGGACGTCCACCGAAAACGTACCCCTTGTTTGGTAAGCTGGGTGATGGGGGACACAAGGCCAGAGAAGTTCCTGATAAATTTCCGATAGAAATTTGCAAACCCAATGTTTATATACGTGATCCTGCGCACCTTGTCGCAGTATATGTACTGTGGGCGGTCCCCTAGTGGTTAAACAGGAAGTATTTACATAACGGACTTCAGTTCAGGTGTGTTGTTCCTTAAATTTTAATGATTTTTGTAGAAAGGATGTTTGTTGATTGTATAATTGTAGCGCTATCCCTGTAGGAGCTGCTTGGTAATTTGGGTTGTTTGTTCTAAATTTCGACTCCAAGAATAACCTCAGCCCCTCTGATACACCTGGTTGAATGAAAGTCACTGCAAGCACTTATAAGAACAGAAGTATAGATACCTTTAACTTTTCTGTGAACTAGTACCAGAGACTGCAGACGCAGTACAGGGGATGACCAGAGACTGCGGACACAGTACAGGGGATGACCAGAGACTGCGGACACAGTACAGGGGATGACCAGAGACACAGTACAGGCCAGAGACTGCGGACACAGTACAGGGATGACCAGAGACTGCGGACACAGTACAGGGGATGTCCAGAGACTGCGGACACAGTACAGGGGATGTCCAGAGACTGCGGACACAGTACAGGGGATAACCAGAGACTGCAGACATAGTACAGGGAATGACCAGAGACTGCGGACATAGTACAGATGGCCAGAGACTGCAGACAGTGCAGGGGATGACCAGAGACTGCAAACAGTAAAGGAGATGACCAGAGACTGCGGACCTTTGGGGAGGGAGGAGGAGCGGGTACCTGAATTTGACAGGTACCCGCTCCCACTTCCGTGGAGTTGTCCTTCCTTCTTCCTGTGCCGGCTTCTGTGACAGCTGGGTGCCCACTGCGCATGCGCGAGAAGCGCTGCGCTTTGTGAATGGCCCGGAGCCTTCTGGGACCTGTCATGTGTCCCAGAAGACGCTGGACCATTCACAAAGCGCAGCGCTTCTCGCACATGCACAGTGGGCATCAGGCTGTCACAGAAGCCAGCACGGGAAGACTGTACAGCGCTGGAGCGAGGAACAGGTAAGGTCCTGCAGGAGGGAAGAGCTGAGCGGCTGGCCCGATATTCTGACTTGGTGGCGGCAGAAATACCGGACCGGCCGCTTTATATTCGCTCCATAAGACGCACTGACATTTTCCTCCCTTTTTTGGGGGGAAAAGGGTGCGTCTTATGGAGCGAAAAATACGGTATGTCCTTTAGAGTCTGGGGAAAATGCACCTTTTTTCTCTCCTCCTGGCAGCCTGTCTCTGGGGAATGTAGTCCAAACGCCTTTAATTACATGGTAGAGTCTCTCCGTTCCTCAGAGCTACCGTTCCCACAGTGCAGTACTGCCTGATTCTGTCTGTTGCTCAGGAGCTCCCTCCTCTCACTGGTATAACAGTTAACCAGTTCAGCACCGCATAGAAGAAGCTACTGAGAGCAGCTGCAGCCAGTGTTTCTTTCACTGTCCATTCTTAGCCAAGCACCTGGTTGCATAATAAACTAAGAGGCAGCTGATTCAACTCCTTGTCTTGACAAAATGCCTAAAAGATACCCCAAATTGTATACAAGTTAGCGAGTGGATCAAACCTGCCTTTTAGTTACACAAAGCTACAGGTTTTCATAGTGCAGCATTATAACCTTCCAGCCTTATAACCATATGGCTTCCCCTGGCACCCTAACAACCAATGACATCAGTTGATGAGGAAGAGATGCGCCAGCACAGCATCCTTGTATGCCCCTCCCCTGCCCCTCTCTGTCTGCACTGGGATCACATTAGCTGAGTGAAATAGAGAATCTGAGGAAGAAGAGAAAAATTGGAAAGCTAATCAGTACCAATGTGCAAAGGTGTATTTGCTTTGAAAGACTAAATCACCTCTAATATTGGATGTCCTACGTGCGTGGATGTTGCTGCATTGTGTAAAACTACTAGTTTAGTGTTTTTTTTTACATTTTAGAGTGGGGTTCTTTGAGATTTTGCAGAATTGTGAAGGTGCCTTGACTGAAAAAAGGTTGGGAAACACTGATAAACTGTACACATACAAAAACGTCATTGTTAAGTTGTCTAGCGTTGCACAATTAAAATACACTATACTTTTCCTTCACACATTCTTTGGGTATAAAGCCATACATGTATGAAAAATGTTTAAAAAACGCAAACAGGATAATGTCTAGCTTTTCATCCCTTCTATGGAATAGGTCTGAAGTTGTTGTATAATACATGAACAGAGAAATAAACTTAAATTTCCAGATTTGCAGTGCATAATGTTTTATGATTAGCAATGATATAATTAGTCTTTTTCATTTGGATGGCATTATTGTTAGTCTTACATGAGTTTCTCCCTTTTAATAGAGAGACCCTACTCTAGCAAAACAATTATTCAGTTCATTGTTTTCTGGGATCCTGGAAGAAATAAGCTCATCCCACATGAACAACATTGTAACAAAACTGCTTAGTCAATTCAACCACTTCTTGAGCAGCACAGTGGCTTACTTCCCACCTTTCATTGCTTGTGTCCAAGTAAGTATAACAAACTTGTGCCATTCAGCACACTGATTATCTCTCTAAACTGATTAGTCCTGTGACATGTAAAATATTCTGATTTTATGGGGATAGCTGGGGCAATTTTGGGAATCATAGTTTTTCACAATTTTTCGAGCACACTCAGTTATTAACGCTCACATACTGTATTTGGTATCGCTTAACTCTCTTAACACTGTTATCTTGAACCACTTTCTGCTCCAGTCCAGTTCTTTTTTTTTTTTTTTTTTTTTATTATATTTTTATTAATTACATTTTACAAAATCCAACACAACACTAATACAAATTATCTAATATTCATTACAAATTTCATTTACTTTTCCCTCCCAATCCCCCCGTCCCCCACATCCCATACTCTCCTTTTCCATTCTCTTCTTATTTCACTAATGCTCCATCTTCACCAATAAATATAACCTTTTTTCGCCGCATTCCTCTTCTTCTCGTTACCTTTTCCCTCTACTCCATTAATTCAGCAAATCTCCGTGTAGTCCTAAATTCACACCACCTTTCCCACATTTTTATTAATTTCTCCATTTTATCTTTTCCACTATGGTATAGCTCTTCTTTCATATATAGATACCCTCTTTATCCAGTCTTTAACTTTAGGTGACTCTTCGGCCTTACAAAATTTAGGGATCCGTTATTTTGCCGCGTTAATTAAATTAAATACAATCTTGTTCTTATTTTGTTTTACTGTAAGATCCGTATTATGAAACAAACACACCCAGGTGTCCATTATTATTCTGTCTCCTACAATTTCTGATATTTGTTGCACTATCATCTGCCAAAATTCCTGTATTTTCAGACATTCCCACCATATACAGTATGTGCCAATGTACCTTTTTCCCCACATCATCTTCTTTAGTAGAGGCTTCCTTCTGGGACGACATCCATGCAGACCAATTTGATGCAGTGTATGGAGTATGGTCTGAGCCCTGACGGGCTGACCCCCCCACCCCTTCAACCTCTGCAGCAATGCTGGCAACACTCATACGTCTATTTCCCAAAGCCAACCTCTAGATATGACGCTGAGCACATGCACACAACATCTTTGGTTGACCATAGTGAGACCTGTTCTGAGTGGAACTTGTCCTTTTAAACCGCTGTATGGTCTTGGCCACCGTGCTGCAGCTCAGTTTCAGGATCTTGGCAATCTTCTTATAGCCATCTTTATATAGAGCAACAATTCTGTTTTTCAGGTCCTCAAAGAGTTCTTGCCATGAGGTGCTATGTTGAACTTCCAGTGACCAGTATGAGACAGTGAAAGTGATAACACCAAATTTAACACACCTGCTCCCCATTCACATCTGAGACCTTGTAACACTGACAAGTCACATGTCACTGGGGAGGGAAAATGACTAATTGGGTCCAATTTGGACATTTTCACTTGGGGGTGTACTCACTTTTGTTGCCAGCGTTTTAGACATCAATGGCTGTGTGTTGAGTTATTTTGAGGGGACATCAAATTTACACTGTTATACAAGCTGTACACTCACTACTTTACATTGTAGCAAAGTGTAATTTCTTCATTGCCACATGAAAAGATATAATAAAATATTTACAAAAATGTGAGGGGTGTACTCACTTCTGTGAGATACTGTACCTCCCTCCCGCTCCTCCCTCCTATCCTTCATCTCCACTCTTATTTCCCCATACTTGTCCTCCACCTGCTTCCTGTTGTCTCACAGGAGTCGGACTCCCTGGACTCTTCTCCTGTGGAGGCATATATTTTTTTTTATTGTACTGTTACTTGTCTTAGGTGTCTTTACCCCTCCTCCATTTACTGATTTGCTCTTCATACTGTTTCCTCTGTTATTTCTTGCTTAGCTTGAAATATATCCCTGTTCCCACTTTACATTTACTATTGGGAGATATAAAATATGGATATATATGGGCCGGATCGGCAAATACTATCCTTAATCTTGAAGATAAATAACTTGTATATTGTCTAATACTTTCTCCTTCTTAATTTCTAATAGTCCTTTTCCTTTTCAGCGCTCTTCCACTCTTCCAGTTATATGTCCTTATTTAATTCTTACTTTTTTCCTCCATTGGGTGACCCCCTGTTTTCACTTCCCCCACCTCCTTCTAATCACCTTTTTCACCAGTCACTTGCATCTCAGATCAGCAAACATATAATGTCAGGATATCATTATCTTTGAGTACTCGCCGTTCTCCACATTCCACTTCCCAGCTGCTCTCTCAGCCTGCTCAGTTTCTGCTGTGACTGTATGTAGCCATTCATCCGCCGTCATCTTAGTGGGGGGTATAGGGGGGTCCACCTGTGGATTGTTTTCCTCTGCTTCTGTACTCCTCTTCATGACCGATCTTTACCCAGGGGTCTATGCAGCTGCCTCCTAGTTTCCCCTGTCAGCCGCCACTCACTCCTGCTGGTCCTCCTCTCTGCTCTACACACCCGCAATGCGGGACCGACACCCTTCTCCCAGCCATACTGAGCAGCCCCCTGGAACATTCCTACAGAGCTGGAAACCACGCTGACCAGGTCACGAGGTATGTCTTATGCCGTACTCCTACTTTCTCAGGTGGCGCACCGGAGCTCCTAAAGCACGCTTCCTGTCGGCGTCATGTTCAGGCCCCACGTGCTCCAGTCCAGTTCTGACATTTCTTACATACCCAGTTAAAATCTACAATTTTTATTAGAAAATTGGTTAGAATCTCCAAATTTTATTGGGATATTTGAGCAGCCATTTTTAAAATGTAAATGTTCAGGGTAAATACACTTTACTTTTAGTGCACACAAACACAATGAATTACCCATTTTTTGGTAAAATATAAAGATGATGTTATGTGAAGTAAATAGCTACCTAACGTGTCATCCTTAAAAATTGCATATGTCCGTGGAATGGCAACAAACTACGGTACATTACATTTTCCATAGGCAATGTTAAAAGCGTTTACAGTTTACCAGTTTAGTGTTAAACAGAGGCTGGCACTAGAATTGCTTTCACAGCATGCTGTCCATGTCCTGAAGAAGTCATTGGGCAACTGTAGAGATGCTTAGTCACCTGTACACGAAAGCCTATTGCTGGCTGCAAATTTACATGGAGTCATGATCCCAGTATGACCACTTCAACCTCTGGATATACAAGTATGTCCTAAAGGTGTGAGGTGGTTAAGGCTTCATTTACATGGCTAGTCAAGGCTGTACACCACCAAGAATCAGTGTAAATCTGCAGCGGATGTTTACTGATGCTTGCGATTGGCTGCTGCTAGCAGCCTGTACAGGCTGACAGGAGCCATGGCTTTTCAGATGTAACTGCACCATTACATGGGATTAGGGACACTCCTCTGTCATTAGTTTCATGTCACTGCTCGGATGTGCAGTTACATGTGAACAGCTACGGTGGTAAGCCTGTTATTGATTTTACTAGGCTGCTAGCAAACACTGCAGATGTATGCTTATTCTTGATGGTGAACAAGGCCCTACATTTACCGGATCATTCTGAAATGCTATTGTTTGTGCACATTAAATTAACTTTAGTGTTTTCTTACTGAAAACCTAGATTTGATAAACAGTAGCGCAGATATCGAGGGACAAAAAATTTGCTACTAACTTCATTTTATTGTTCAAGTCAAGAGTGTTCCTGTCAGCACCACCTGCCTCAAGAAAAATGTATGTGAAGAAGACAGGTTTTCAGGCAGCCATGGGTGCTGCTGCTGTCTGAATTAAGTAGTCTGCAGTATAGATTCCTCCATCCACACTGTTTAGCATTGATGGGAGAATAGATTGATTTTGTTGTTCATCCCTCGGGGGGTGAATGAGAGAGCCTTAGTTATTCACATAAATGTGAGTATTTACAAACCAGGCATTGTGATCTAATTTCTCAGATACTAGTGTGCAGTGTGATAGTGAGCTGCAATGATATTTTGATGTTTTTATTTTTCCTTATTCTTCTTTTGGCAAACTCAGCCTGAGAAAAGAAAACAATCTGTTTCTGGTGTTTTTTCCTGGTGCTCGTATTTTCGTTTACTTTTGAATAACACAGATTTTTCTCCTGCAGAATATGTGTTATCATCATGTTGAACTCCTTGACTTGAACCCAACAAGTGTGAGCACAAGTAGTATAGAAAGCCTGCAACAGCCACTGGGTATCCTGCTGCTGGAAAAAGGACTGCAGCACCTGCAGCCACCGGAGGAGCCTCCAGCAAAGAAGATGCGGGGCAGAACTGAACTTCCTACTGATGTCATCAGATGGCTACAGCTTGCAAGGTATGCAATACAGAAAGAAATCCACTTGCTTGTTTGTGGGTTTTTTTTCCAATGTACACTTACAGATCAAAGTAAGCCTATCACTGTTGTGAGTTCTGTCTTTGCATGTGGCACAGAAAAAAATGCATATCCCAAGATTATTTCAGTGAAAATTACTTGTCAAAACAATCATTAGATCCAGAACTATAGGTGGTTCAGTATCTATTCAAATGTAGAGTCCAGTTTGGCCAGTCTGCTCCAACATCCCAAGCTTTCCTAATGGTCTTTGAGGCTGCCCATCATATTCAAGGTCTAATACGAAGGAGGGATGTTGAAAGGGTCATAATTAAGCTTTACGCTTATAGTGAAGTTGAGAGTATCATATAATTTCTATATCTATAGGTCTTTTGCTCTTCATGACATTCATTTTTCTCTAAAGTTATCTGTTGCTTATGTTTTTTTGTTATGCTTAGTTTAAATTGTCTAGAGTTGTGACCTATTTACTTTTATTTTTCTATTGTAAAATGCTATCTCCTCTTATAATCTGCTTTTTAATGGAAAGGTCCACATTCTTTTCAAAGTAGAATACTATCTACCAGATATGTATTTCATTATTGTGCGGATTATGGTTACATATCAAATCCATTATATTACATTTTTTTCATTCAGATTGTATCGCTCCATTGAAGACTATGATGTTCTTCGAGGCATTTTTTGTGGCAAGATTGGAACAAAATCTATAACTGAAAAAGCCTTAACTGCAGAAGCAAAATCTGATTATGCCACAGCTGCAAAATTATATGATGAAGTAAGTGGATCACTTCAGAAACTCGTGATTGGCTCCACTTGCAAGTCAGTTTTTAGGGTATTTACATAAAGTCCAACATTCTCATAACCTGAAGATTGCCAATAGAGCAAATTTAATTTAAAAGGGGAACTCCAGTTTTCATTGTAATACTCATTTGGTCTAGTAGAGGATGCATTGACTCCAATGCCTTCAGTTCAACCTTGAGGTGTGCCACAGCCAATGTCACACTGTCTCTGTTGGCTGACCTTTAGACCACACACCCCTCCCCTATCCCATACCTTCCGCACCCCCTCTCCCATATCTCCTTCCCATAGTTTTCCAGGCTACAGGAACAGACAGTCCTAATGCCACTAACAGGCATTACTAGTATGCTGTAGTAACACCCACATAAAATGATGTATGGACAATAATGGGAGCTCTCTGTTCCCGGTCACTGTCCACAGCACGGTCTTTACCTGATTGACTGCTACTTCAATGTATGACTGGGATGTGCCTGTGCTCTAACACCAACAGGCCATTTGTAATTGTGCCTACCTGACATGCAGACAAACAGACATGCAGCGGTGCTGCAGATAGTGACAGTGGAGAACTCCCTTGTTATTGTCAATGCCTACTAGTCTACAGCATAGGCACCATAGCCTCCCCTATTTAAGCCTACTTCTGTTTGGGATGTTAGCCAGCGGTTGTTAAACAGCACAACAAACAAGGCGATGTCAAAGCTGTCCATAGTTCAGAAGACCCCTGATAGCAATTTTATGATTAACCTGAGAAGGATCTGCAATGTTTCACCCCCTGGACAGTAGGTTGTAGAACAATAGCATCAGGTTACCTCTCCTTGCCTGAGCCTGCTTCTATTGTTAAACTCTCACATTCAATGAGTACTGTGGGCAACTTAAACCAGCCACAGAAGGTTTGAATCTTGGCCTGTTCAGGCTAATTGTACCCAAGTTGATTGTTGTACGCCTTGGATACAACGAGCATGTCAGATTTTACTTGCGATTATTGCTAGCGGCTATTATATCCAGTAACAGTGTTGTTCCGGCAGAGACGGCTTCCCCCGACCCCCTCTGAGAGAGCACAATAGCTCCACAGGAGGGATTCCCCCATCAACACTGACTGTGTTGATGGGGGAATTGAGCAGTTCTCTTTCCTGCAGCCTGTGGTTGCATACTTGCATAGGCTGGAAACTTATACTTTTTTTTTTTTATCTTTTTATACAATTTTCCAGTACAAATATATAACAACCCAATATACTACATATATTCACCAGTACATACATCTCTTTTACAATTTCTTATCTCCCACCCTTCCTCCCACTACCCCCCCTAACCACCCCTGTCCAGGTCTAATTAACTTCTTAATCCTCTTATATTTTTATCTATCATTATCCCTTTCCCTCTCACACCCACTTTCATCTTCAGGTTCTCAGTCATGCTCTCTCCAGGCTTTTTCCCCCTGAACGCCCAACCAGTTCCAAGTATCTCTTAGATGTTTTAAATTCTAACCAGCAACCCCACGTTTTCTTTTCTTCTTCCATTTTATCTTCCTCCGAATGACACAGCTTCTCCATCCTAAAAATATTTTCCACTCTATTTAACCAATCATTTATTCTTGGTGGCTCCGATGCTTGCCAAAACCTGGGGATAATGCACTTGGCTGCACTGATTAAACGGTGTAATACCCTGCTTATACATGGTTTGCCTACAAGCTCAGAGTAAAATAAACACGTCATGGGTCCATTTGTATAGTAATCCCACTAATGTTCCTGGATATCATTAGTTATTTTGTTCCAAAAATCCTGTATTTTCAGAATATATGTGTGTCATTGTACCTTTTTTCCCCGCAACCTCTGCAACATAAAGGTGAAACAGCAGCTTGCTGCTTATGTCCCACACTCAGTGTAATACACCATCTCGTCAAGCATTTATAGTTAATGTCTACTGTGCTCTTATTTGTCACCTCATGTGTTTAAATAATTTATTCCTTTTTTGTTCCTTCAATTTAACTACCGCTGTGGGTCCATTATAAAGCCCTTTTATCCAATTCAGCATTTTGAGCCCTATTCCCAAAGCTTCTAACATATCAAACATAAAACCCCAATCAACCCTGTCAAAAGTCTTCTCGAAGTCTATTGACAGGAATATTGTTGTCTGCTTCTCTCTTTACTTTTATCCCATTATCCCATCCCTCTCTTCCAGGAATAAATCCTATCTGATCCAAGTGTATCCACTTCGGCATTAACTCCTTCATTCTAGTTGCTAAGACCTTAGCATCTAATTTTGTGTCAGCGTTTAATAAGGATATAGGATATATTCTTTTTATGTAGCTGTTTCAACCTACATAACGCCTTCACCCGCTTTATTTTTCTCTCCTGTTCTTTTTTTTTTTTTTTTTTTTTGCTCCTATCGATATCAATGTTCCTCTAGTATATGCCTTATGAGCCTCCCACAGTGTGGCTACCGGCATCTCCTTGGTCTCATTAAACTAAAAAAATTGTTCAATTTTCTGCCTTATCTTTTCCACTGTTTCAGTATCTTGTATGAGTGTCTCATTTAATCTCCAAGTATTTGTTTTGCCCTTCTCCCGTCCAACCCGAAGTTTCGCTGTGACAGGACCATGATCAGAGATGGACATAACCTCTATTTTGGAGGTAACCAACGACCTTTAGTTGTCTATGCTCGATCAGTATATAATCCTATCTTGAGTATGTTCCATGTATTGGAGAGGTATAATCTCTTTTTCTTGGATGTTTTACTCCCCAAGTATCTGTCAATTGGCCTTGCTGTAATAACCTTTTCAGTAATTTTATTTCAATATTCTTTATTGAAGATTTTCAAGAACAGAATATAGCAGGAATAATCGGTTCAATAGCAAATGTATTTATACAACATCAAAATGATAGTGAGTATTTACCCCACCAGTTGGCTGGGGTCAATAGCAGGATTTAGGCATTAACATCAGAGATAGTCTTGGCTATGTGTAGAACCTTGGTAAGGTGTGTGAGGTGATAATGGGGCATTAAATAAGGGGGGGGTAGGTGTAACGGGGTTGAGAAAGGGGATACCAGTCTAAACGTGGTAGGTAATGCAGAGATATGCATAGTATCAAAGTTGTACCGAGCAGTTAGGATTTTGTAGCCAGCGATTCCATTGGAGTTTGAATTTGTGTTGGGTAGAGTTGTTAAAGGCGGATCTTTTTTCCATTTCACATTGGAAATTAAGGTCCGTGATTAGTGACTTGAGAGATGGAGCATTGGTAGTGTTCCATAATCTAGTTATATTGATTTTGGCTGTGAAGAGTGTGTGGACAGTTATAGTACGGGAATTATAGGGGAGTTTTTCAATCCCAATGTGTAGAAGTGCAAGTGAGGGGTTTGGGGTTATCAGTGTTTTGGATATTTCAGAGATTAACTGGAAGACACTGTTCCAAAAGTATCTGATTGATTTACAGGGCCATAGTATATGTAATATTGATCCTACGTCTCCGCATTGTCGCCAACAAGAGGAGGAGTGTTTTGGGTAGTAAATGGCTAGTTTCACAGGGGTTAGGTACCATTGGTGTAGAATTTTTAGGTATGATTCCCAGTGCGAACTACATCGGGAGGATTTGTAAGTGGTGTTAAATGTTTTTTTTTTTCCCCATGCTTGTGTCGTAATTGGTTCTGAACGAGTTTTTTCCCCAATTGGTTAGGGATGTAGATTTTAGAGTGAATTGTGGTTTGTCATCTCTTCAGTAATTTTAATTTCCTACCACCCTCTCTCGGCGTACCAGATGACGCATCCAAATACGAATCCATGCTCAGATTAAGATCTCCTGCCACAACTAGATTACCCCTTTTATATTCAGAGATTTTAGTTAACATACCCTCCAGGAATGTTACTGGGTTTTTATTTGGGCAGTAGATATTGACTAGTGTATAATCCATTCCTTGTAGTCTTCCCTTCAAGAATAGAAACCGGCCCTCTGAGTCCTCCACTCTCCCCTCCAGGGTAAAGCTAAAGTTTTTTGAGAATCCGATTTGCTACTCCTTTAGCCCTTTTAACTGGGGAATCAGCATAATACCATGTTGGATGGTACTTTGAGTATAACTTAACATTTGTATCGTAGGTTATGTGTGTCTCTTGTAGAAACACAATGTCTATGGAGTGTTGGTATATTTCCCTGAGAATCTTATGTCTTTTTGTTGGGGAATTTAATCCTTTCACATTATAAGTCTTGAACTTGATCAAGTTCATTTATAATATTCCATCTCCATCTTATCAATTTTCCCACACCAGGAACACAGATATAGACAACTTAAGAACTGGACCTCCCCCCCCCCCCCCCCCCCCCCCCTCCAACTACCCCCTCTTTCCCTCTCTCCCCCACCCTCTCCCCTCCCCCAAGCCCCCCTCCCTAAGACCCTCATGGCCTACATAATGTCCTGGAATCTGTCGTGGATAGTTTCCACTAATGATTCCTAATATGGGGCGAGACTCGACACACACATGTCCAGTCAAATCCCTAGTTCGTGTCATTGGTTATATTGGAGTCTGACAGCATGTGCAACCTCTGGGTTACCCACCTGAACAAAATTTTCTTTATCCCTCCTTGTATCCCAGCCATCATCGCACCTATATACAAAAAACCTTTTTGGTGATGCAATAAATTCCACATTAAATTCAAAATCCTAAATATACCAAATGATCTAATATAATATAAATACACCAACTCAAAATAGTCCAATGTGAACTCCAAAATTATGCCCAAAAATTGTCCAAAAATTGTCCAAAATAAATCCAATATAGTGTCCTAATTTCAATCTTTTTCCTCCAATCTGTGAAGATTATTCCTCCAAACACGTACCTCGATAAATAAAAATAAACAATCTAGTGCAATTCAATTAATTAGAAAAAATCACCCCGTGAAACTCCACACTTCACTGCAAAAGTATAACTATTTGTGAAAAAAAAAAAAAAAAAAAAAAAATTTCAATTGTACCAATCTTATTTTATAATAGTGCAAAAGCCACATCAATCAAAAATGTGCGCACTCTGTGATCACTGCTGCACAGTGAATTCCTTCAACCACCACACAATATAGTACAAAATACTATTACCCTCTATGTATGTAATTAAGGCTCTACCAACATTATGGATCAGTAATCTTCCAAAAATCTTCTTTTGGGATATTTCCAGGTCCTCAGAGAAATAAATGGTCTTAGGAGCAATATTCAAAACATAGGGATAACATTTATTAGTAACTCACACTTAAGAATTGGATTATCAGCTCCAGCTATGGTTTCTGTCCGCTTAAACAAACATTTCCTCCACCATGTGTATTAACAACCTAAAAAATGGCCGCGGCGACACTTCCGGTCTGCATACGTGCGTCCTGACGTCACTCCTTTAACGCGTTTCGTCACTTCCGGACTTCATCTGAAAGGATGAAGTCCGGAAGTGACGAAACGCGTTAAAGGAGTGACGTCAGGACGCACGTATGCAGACCGGAAGTGTCGCCGCGGCCATTTTTTAGGTTGTTAATACACATGGTGGAGGAAATGTTTGTTTAAGCGGACAGAAACCATAGCTGGAGCTGATAATCCAATTCTTAAGTGTGAGTTACTAATAAATGTTATCCCTATGTTTTGAATATTGCTCCTAAGACCATTTATTTCTCTGAGGACCTGGAAATATCCCAAAAGAAGATTTTTGGAAGATTACTGATCCATAATGTTGGTAGAGCCTTAATTACATACATAGAGGGTAATAGTATTTTGTACTATTGTGTGGTGGTTGAAGGAATTCACTGTGCAGCAGTGATCACAGAGTGCGCACACTTTTGATTGATGTGGTTTTTGCACTATTATAAAATAAGATTGGTACAATTGAAATTTTTTTTTTTTTTTTTTTTTTTTTCTTTCACAAATAGTTTATACTTTTGCAGTGAAGTGTGGAGTTTCACGGGGTGATTTTTTCTAATTAATTGAATTGCACTAGATTGTTTATTTTTATTTATCGAGGTACGTGTTTGGAGGAATAATCTTCACAGATTGGAGGAAAAAGATTGAAATTAGGACACTATATTGGATTTATTTTGGACAATTTTTGGGCATAATTTTGGAGTTCACATTGGACTATTTTGAGTTGGTGTATTTATATTATATTAGATCATTTGGTATATTTAGGATTTTGAATTTAATGTGGGATTTATTGCATCACCAAAAAGGTTTTTTGTATATATTTAACACTTTCTAGGGTGGAAAGTATTGACTTTTTGAGGGTATAAGGAGGTCATATATGTAATTAGTTCATCATCGCACCTAGGCAGGGAGGTACCGAAGGCAAGGGAAGCCATGGCACAATCGGGAAAGGGTCAGGGAAATGTCAGAGGGGAGAAAAGAGAGGAACCTTATCTCCTTCTCTGCCCTATGCCTAGGTACTCTTCTCCCTTCCCATCTACCACCCACTCTCCGACTTTATCCACCCCCCCCCCCCCCCCCCCCCCCCCCCCCCGCTACACCCGCTCACATTGAAACCACCGTTCAAGTTCTATTTTTTTATGGCAAGTTTCTCACAAGAGTCACTAAAGTCTTCAGGGAACCTCAATCTTGCTGATTTCCCATCTTTCCAGCCAATCAAGCATGCTGGAAAGCCCCAATTCTAACTGACTTTTCTTCTTTCTCATATGTTCCAGTAATGGTTTCAAGGATCTTCTTCTTGCCACTGTCTCTGGATAAATGTCAGTAAAAATATGCAACTTTGTTTCCTCATACTTTATTTCAATAGTGTCCCACAGACTTTTCAATATTCTTTCCCTATCTGCGAAATGATGGAATTGAATTATCACATCTCTAGGACTGTCTGCCGATACTCCTGATGGCCGTCTAATCCCGTGTACTCTCTCAAATTGCAATTTTTCTGACGCTGGTCTTCCTATTATTGGGTTACATACTCTCTTTATTTTCTCCTCTAGATCCTCTGCCTGGTCTTCTTCTGGGAGGCACCGGATCCTTAAATTCTTTCTTCTATCGCGGTTCTCCTGGTCCTCTAACTTAGCTTTATGTATGTAGAAAAAAAAAATCTAATTTTTATAGACCCATGAGGTTAAAGGTATAAAATATAAAAGACACAAAAAAAAATGCAGCTCTGTAATTTTTTCTTCTTTAATTGCAAACAGTTGAATTTGACCATGTATCAGCTTCTTGCAGTCCTTGTACAGCAGGGATTGGGGTATGAGAGGAAGAAGCAGCAGCACAAGGAGCCAATTAGTTAATTTGCTAAAAAGAAACTTGCTGATAGGAAGAGAGCGAAAGCGAGAGAAATAAAACTGTGCTGCTTCTCCTTTTACTGGCCAGTCATAGACCACAGTGGGTTCAGCATGACCTGGGCTCAGAGCAGGCGTGTGTACTGATGCTAGTCATTAGACTGAGAATGGCAGAAAAAACTAAAGTACTGTGGGGAATCTGTATTATAGGTGACCATTGCAAAAAGCTGTTTTCACTTTTTATTTTACGTTATTGTTCTCTTATTGTGGCTGGAAACCTGCTTTAATCACTGATTAAGTGTTCCTAATTTGTTAATCTGTTCTTCAAAGGCACTACAGCAGACCTTTTCAGATGGGGAACCTTCTGATGCAGAGAAGGATTTCTGGGAAATTGCTTCGATGGAATGTTACAATCACCTGACAGAATGGCAGCCGTTGGAATACTGCTCTACTCTTAACATTGACAGTGAAAACCCCCCTGATCTCAATAAAATATGGAATGATCCTTTTCATCAGGTGGTGTTATACTGTATATAGTTCATACCACATGTATGGGCAGGAATGCTTAGGTATTTCTTTGTGACTGTCTCTCATTTTTTGATGCAGGAAAATTATCTGCCTTACATGATCCGCAGTAAAATGAAGTTGCTTCTTCATGGAAAGGATGACCAGTCTTTATTAACTTTTATTGATGAAGCCATGAAGGTGGAACAGAGGAAAGTTTTAATGGAAACCTTGTACAGTCAAGAGATGAGTCTTCTTTACATAATGCAGGATGACTTTGACCGAGCTAAGTATTACATCAAAAATGGAATTGATGTCTTTATGCAGGTATGGATGTAAATCTTTTTTTTTTTTTTGGTTGTACATTCTGCTATGTCCCAAAAGCAGCACTAATGCCCTGAGTCGTAGTTCTGAAGTAGGCTTATGAAAAAAATGTTGTGTTTTTCTTTATAGAACTATTCAAGCATTGATTCACTGATGTTTCAAAGCAGATTAACTGAACTGCAGTCAGTTCAGGCTCTCTCAGAAACTCAGGATTTTATTGAATTCATCCGTGTTCCAGGTACATGGTTTTCTGACTTACTGCTGTTGGATAGTTATCCTATAAAAGTGAATTTATTATATCAAAGCAGTGTAGCGCATGATCTTCCCAGTATTTACTAGTCAAATGACAATGCCATTAGATATGAAGAAAAGTGCTTTTGTGTTCCTTGGCGTGTATTGGTAGGATGTCTTGTATAGTAAAGAATTTGTTAAAAAATGAAAATTTATAGGCTTAATTTTTGTATACAATCAACTTCATTGTTTTGTAAAATCTGTTGCACTTTTCTTAAAACAATGAATGACATTATAACTGCAAGTAATCAGAATATGTGTGTGGAATATTTCTTTTTTTTTCATCATCTTTAATTTTCTGTTTTCATTTCAAAAGTAATATACCCCAAAAATTATGAAGTGTGTTATTCAGTTTTTAAACACTTGCTAAATTGCATTTTTGTTTCATGCAATATTATTTTAGGCAATTTAACATCTTTGCCCGCACTGAAAAGGTTGCTTAAGCTTTGGAAGAGTAGATATCCAGATGATAAAATGGACTCCATGAACATTTGGGATGACATCATTACTAACAGGTAAAGATATCTTGTTGCACAGTCTTTATTTCATACACGAAAAATAATTCTGAAATCCATTATCTCTGGTATAAATAGTTTAAGCCATCTCTCTGTATGTACATGATTTTGTTTTCAGGTGTTTTTTCCTCGATAAAATCCAAGAAAAGCTTTCCACTCAGCATATGGATGAGAGTATGGAAACAGACAATGAAGCAGACAACAGTGAGGCTATGGAAGTGGACAAGAAAGACGATATTAACTTTTTGATGAAAGAATGTAAATTTGTAATGAAAATGAAAATGGTGAACAGTGCTAGAAAACAGGTAATATTGTGGCACTATACCATCTGTCATAATAATTTAACTTTTTTTTTATTTAAATGCAATAGTGGTGCACCAAAATGAAAATTGTGGACCGAAACCAAAAATCATGATGCACTTGGCCAAAAACTGAAATGGACAGTTTTTAAAAAAAAATAAAGAAATATTTTTATATCTAATTGTATTGTAATTAGCTTTTAATTACTATCATGACTTTAAATGAATACGAATTTAAAATATACAATCCAGTAACATAAAATCATTTTTATTTAAAGTAACACACAAAAATTGGGCAGATAATATTATTATTATTATATAGGATTTATTTAGCGCCAACAGTTTGCGCAGCGCTTTACAAAATGAAGGTAGACATTACAGTTACAATACAATTTGGTACAAGAGGAAACAGGGCCCTGCTTGTTAGAGCTTACAATCTAGGAAATTAAAAAACTTAAATAGAGCATTGGCGTCAGTTGGGACGAGATTTTGCATTGAAGTCAGTTGGGACGTGATTTTACATTGAAGTCATTGAAGTCAGTTGGGACGTGATTTTACATTGAAGTCAGTTGGGACGTGATTTTACATTGAAGTCAGCTGGGACGTGATTTTGCACTGAAGTCAGCTGGGACGTGATTTTGCACTGAAGTCAGCTGGGACGTGATTTTGCACTGAAGTCAGCTGGGACGTGATTTTTCATTGAAGTCAGTTGGGACGTGATTTTGCATTGACGTCAGTAGGGGGTATTTTTGATTTTTGCCTTGAACTCAATGGGATGGGATTTTGCCTTGAAGTCAATTATCATTATTAGCACGTTTTTTTTTTGTTTTTTTTTACCTGTCGGCAAAACACTGATAACCCTATTTTTGGCCAATCATTTTGGCTCTCTTATATTTTGCATGTCCTGGGTCAAGCCATCTTAACTTCCCTCTGGGGATCCCTATTTGGCGAATGGCTTATTCGGTATAATTTTGTGGATGGTGGTGACGTATTCGGTAATATGAGTGTGTTGTTAAATTGTTTGTGATTTTTTTAAATCTTTTTGGCTTATGTGTGACACAGTACACTGCAGAATTTTTATTATGTAATATTTTTGTATTCAGTTAAAATGTTGTATATAGACATTTTGGAGTGAAGCAGATACAATACATTGCCAAAAGTATTGGGATGCCTGCCTTTACACACACATGAACTTTAATAGCATCCCATTCTTAGTCCGTAGGGTCGAATATTGAGTTGGCCCACCCTTTGTAGCTATAACAGCTTCAACTCTTCTGGTAAGGCTGTCCACAAGGTTTAGGAGTGTCTCTACGGGAATGTTTAACCATTCTTCCAGAAGCGCACTTGTGGGGTCAGGCACTGATGTTGGTTTAGAAGGTCTGGCTCGCAGTCTCTGCTCTAATTCATCCCAAAGGTGTTCTATCGGGTTGAGGTCAGGACTTTGTGCAGGCCAGATAAGTTCCTCCACCCCAAATTCGCTCATCCATGTCTTTATGGACCTTGCATTGTGCATTGGTGTGCAGTCATGTTGAAACCGGAAGGGACCATCCCCAAACCGGCCCCACAAAGTTGGGAGTATGAAATTGTCCAAAATTTCTTCGTAAGCTAACGCCTTAAGAGTTCCCTTCACTGGAACTTAAGGGCCAAGCCCAACCCCTGAAAACTAACCCCACACTATAATCACCCCTCCACCAAAACTTACACTTGGCACAATGCAGTCAGGCAAGTACTATTCTGGCAACTGCCAAACACAGACACATCCATTGGATTGCCAGACAGAGAAGCGTGATTCATCACTCCACAGACCACATCTCCACTGTTCTAGAATCCAGTGGTGGCAAGCTTTACGCCACTGCATGTGACGCTTTGCATTGCACTTGGTTATGTACAGTTGCAAGAAAAAGTATGTGAACCCCTTGGGTTTACGTGAAGTTGTGCATGAATTGGGCATAAAATGTGCTCTGAACGTCATCTAAGTCACAACAATAGAAGAACACAGTCTGCTGAACATAATACTACACAAACATTAGATGTTGCCATGGTTTGATTGCACATAACATGTAAACATTCACAGTGCAGGGAGGAAAAAGTTTGTGAACCTTTGTACTTAATATCTGGTTGACCCTCCTTTGGCAGCAATAACCTCAACCAAACGTTTCCTGTAGTTGCAGATCAGACCTGCACAACGATCTGGAGTAATTTTGGACCACTCCTCTTCATAAAACTGTTTCAGTGTAGCAATATTCTTGAAATGTCTGGTGTGAATTGCTCTCTTAAGGTCATGCCACAGCATTTCAATCGGGTTGAGGTCAGGACTCTGACTGGGCCACTCCAGAAGGCGTATTCTGTGCTGTTGCAGCCATTGTTTTGTTGAATTACTTGTATTCTTTGGGTCATTGTCCTGTTGTATCACCCATCCTCTGCGGAGCTTCAGTTGACTGACAGATGGTCGTACGTTTTCCTGCAAAATGTCTTGATAAACTCTGGAATTCATTTTCCCATCAATGACAACAATCCGTCCAGGCCCTGAGGCAGCAAAGCGGCCCCAAAACATGATGCTCCCTCCGCCATGTTTTACAGTGGAGATGAGGTTTTGATATTGGTGTGCTGTGCCTTTTTTTCTCTCCACACATAGTGTTGTGTGTTCTTCCCAAACAACTCAGTCTTGGTTTCATCTGTCCACAGTATATTTTGCCAGTAGTGCTGTGGAACATCCAGGTACTCTCTTGCAAACTTCAAACGTGCTGCAATATTCTTTTTGGACAGCAATGGCTTCCTCCGTGGTGTCCTCCCATGTACTCCATTCTTGTTTAATGTTTTCCTTATTGTAGATGTGTCAACAAAAATGTTAGCATGTGCCAGAGATTTCTGTAGGTCTTTAGCTGACACTCTGGGATTCTTCTTTACCTCATGCAGCATTCTGCGCTGTGCTCTTGCAGTCATTTTTACAGGACAACCACGCCTAGGGAGAGTAGCAACAGTGCTAAACTTTCTCCATTTGTAGACAGTCTGTCTTACCGTGGACAAATGAACATCAAGGCTTTTGGAGATACTTTTGTAACCCTTTCCAGCTTCATGCAAGTCAACAATTCTTGATCGTAGGTCTTCTGAGAGCTCTTTTCTGCGAGGCATGGTTCACATCAGACCGTGCTTCTTGAAACCAGTAAACCCAAAACAGGTGTGTGTTTTTTAAGGTCAGGACAGCTGTCAGCAACACATCCAATATCATTACACTGATTGGAGTCAAGGTTGGCTCACTCCTGGCTCCAATTAGCTCTGGGAGAAGTCATTAAGCTAGGGCCTCACATACTTTTTCCTCCCTGCACTGTGAATGTTTACATGTTATGTGCAATTAAACCATGGCAACATCTAATGTTTGTGTAGTATTATGTTCAGCAGACTGTGTTCTTCTATTGTTGTGACTTAGATGATGTTCAGAGCACATTTTATACCCAATTCATGCAAAACTCCACGTAATCCCAAGGGGTTCACATACTTCTTGCAACTGTAAGGCTAGGATGCATCTGCTCAACTATGGAAACCAATTCCAAGAATCTCTCTATGCACTATTGTGCTAATCTGAAGGGCACACAAAGTTTGGAGGTTTTTAGCTATTGACTCTGCAGACAGTTGGCGACTTCTGCGCACTCTGCGCTTCAACTTGCGCTGACACCGCTCTGTCATTTTATGTGACCTACTACTTTGTGGCTGAGTTGCTGTTGTTCCCAGTTGCTTCCACTTTGTATAATACCACTAACATTTGAATGTGGAATATTTAGTAACAAGAAAATTTCAAGGATGGACTTATTGCACAGGTAGGAACCTATCACAGTACCATGCTTGCATTCACTGAGCTCCTGAGAGTGACCAATTCTTTCACAAATGTTTGTAGAAGTAGTCTGCATGCCTAGGTGCTTGATTTTATACACCTGTGGCCATGGAGGTGATTGGAACACCTTAATTCAGTGATTTGGAGGGGTGTCCCAATACTTTTGGCAATACAGTGTATAATAGTGTATAGTGTAGGACCTTTTCCTTTCTTTAGTAGTTAAGGTGTAAGACATCTTTTTAATGTTTTTGTTTTGTAGTAATTTCAAATGGAAACACGGCAGCAATTTTTCATTGTATTCATAATCTCCTTCCTGCTTTGTATTGCTGTACAATGATTGTATTTTACACCTTTTACAAAGCAAGTTTAAGGCCTTGGTCACACGGGCATACTTAAGTGTACTTCTGTAAAAAGAGCTGCCTATTGGGATGAAGTGGCTGCACAGACACAGTTACAGCTCCCAATCTGATATCGGTCTAGGCATCGGTGCATCTGCCCAAACTCACAAAATCTTGTGTCTTCAATCTTTGCTGCTCTTTCTATTTGTGCTGGTTGACTGGTCTTGTATCCACCTATTTTTCTGCAGACAGTCTGTAAAGACCTCTTGGGTTTCACTCACAATTCTTCATATGCTATTGCAGGACTGTGATGATGTCAATGTTTTTACCTAGTAATAGCTGAGTTCGCAAAAAAACACTTGATGCTCACAAAATTTATCGTCTAGTTCAGTCGTTTTTTTTTTGAGCTGAGGGATGAGCTTTAGGATATTCACTGCAATAATATAAATACATTTGTGATCACTAAAATGCAATATAATTCCCCTTTAAACATATATTTGGCATTCTTAATGAAAAATCCATAGCTTTTTTTTATCGAACACATTTAGAAGGAAGATGGAACGAACAGAGAAGGGGTGCTCTCTCAGACAGATTTATTTCCTCTGAGGAAAATGTAATTTAATCAGAATGACCCTTCATCCTATCATGCTGGCCTTTGCCTCTCCTACCAGGCAGTGCAATGTTTAATATGCTTTTTAAGCTTCATGCTCTAAGACTTAGCTAGTTTTTTATTTTACAGAACAACTTTTCTGTTGCAATGAAGCTTTTGAAAGAACTTCACCGTGAGTCAAAAACTAATGAAGACTGGTTGGTGAAATGGGTTCACAACTACTGTAGCTACAGTCACAGCCGCAGCCAGAGCCAAAGCTGTCCTGAGCAGATACTTGCTGTACTAAAAACTATCTCCTTACTTGGTAAGAACTGTGATGTGCGGCATAGTGTTATATGAAAGCTATGTAGGTAGATAAACTCCTAGAGGATCATTAATAAATAATTAGAATGGCAATCCTATTACCTGTTTAGTTTGTGCTCCCCTCCCTCCTGTTAAAAGCCAAGCACTAATTTCATCTTCATGCTGCCCATTTCTTGGGGGAGCATCTTTACACAGCCTCTGCTCACACACGGTGACATGTGTATTCCTCAGTGCAGAAGGAAGGCCTGCCAATGGCCAGAAAGCATGAGGAAGGACCCACAATGTCACTGTCTTGAAGAATGCAAGAAAAGAGTATGTATAGGGGGTGTTGTCACTTCACGGAAGTGATTGAGGAATTTACAGGCATGACTGCAGGAGGAGTCCAGTGCAGATGCGGACTAATTTATCAGCGAAAGTGCATTCCTGTTTTTTCTGTTTAGGAAATTATTTTCTTATGTAGTATAAAAGTCTGGAATCATGCTTCCTTGAAAAAGATGGTATACCAGCTAAATACTGGATGATAGATTACAGGCTAAGGCTAAGAGCACCCTGCCGTCACCTGTTGAAAAAAGAAAATTACACTACCTTCAAAAGCAGGTGTTTTATGAGCATTTTTGAAGCTTCATGAATACCTGTCAAAATTGTATACATTACAGTACCCAGTGTCATTCATATGGTTGGGTTAGCGGGTCGTGTTGCATCAAAATTGACCCGACCTGTGTTGTTTGCCAGGTTTTGCAGCTCCCATTGATGTCATGGTAAACACGCTTCAAACGCATCACAAATGCCTCTGTGGTGTTTACAGCATGCTTGAGATGTGTTTAGAAACCACCACATCTGGCAAGCGTTATTTTAATTAATCACAAACACATAAAAAATATGCCATTAACGTGTCTAAACACAATAGGTGCGTTTTAATGGGTGCTTAAATTTCTTTGCACATCTAATAGAGCCGTAAGAGAGAGGATTTCCTAAAGACTTTTGACAGTCTGTTTTTCTCTGCAATATTGGTCATATGTACTTATCCTAGCATAAATATACAGGTAGATTATTATAGTTTGATTTACATTTTATATATTCTCTTTCCTTTACTGATGGGAACTTTTACTATAAAGTATGTGTGTTAAGCATAATTCTTTTATCGTAATGGTTTTCCAATGTAACAGAAGAAACAAGTCTAGAATATCTGGACAAAAATCCACGTGCATCTAAAAATCATAACATATTACTGGGAGCCACTTACAGAATCATGGGAGATGCAACATGCAAGGAGCCGGACAGTCTGGAGAAAATTGAGGAATCAAAGGCTAGAAGAGTCATACAGCTTGCAGAATCAGCAGATGAAGTATGTATCCATCTAATCAGAATTATAAAAATGCTTGCTAAAACCTTTTCATTAATGCTGTAGTCCGATTCCTTATTTGCCTTATTATAATATACTGCAGGTAGCAGCAGGGCTGTTTAGAAAGTCTCTGCATTATTTGAATTGTGCAGTCAGAAAAGCTTCAGAAGAAGAACAATCGTGCTCTAAGGAACACACAGACAGCAAAGGAGTCATTAAAGCCTACATGACCTTGGTGAACTTTTGTGACGCACATCTCCGGAAAGTGGAAGATACCCTATCAGGTATTACTTTGCGTAGCCAGTATGCAGGGGTGGACAGATCTGTGCTCTGATGCTACCTGCTGTTTAGAATGTTAGTTAAGTAAATATCTAGACCTGAGCAACAATATGTGTTCAATATGCTCACCTTGCCAGGCCTGTTAGTTCAGCTATGATTGTATTAACATGAAAAAGACCTTGTTTGTACAGGACACAAGGGGGCAGTAAAAGTAGGTGGTAGATCTTCCTTTTTACTGTTCTTGCACCACCAAACAGACTTGACAGCCACTTGGGTCTGTTCACATTGCCATGCCCACAGTGCTTTGATGAAATTTTGACTCACAATGCTACGTTTGGCAGGCATCATGATTGCCAAGCACACCTACTGAAGTCAGTGGAACTGCACCACAATCACGTGCCAAATGCTTTGGGACATGGTTGCATCATGATATTTCAAAGTAAAATCCCCATTGGGATAAAAGGAATTTAAGAGGCAACTGTATTGACTGCTGAACACTCGCAAAGCCACCCTCAGCTGTCTCTGAAAAGCTGTCCACTGCGGATCACTTTGCAGAGGGCTAGTAAAGTCCATCTTCTATATGAAAGAAGTCTACCTGTTAGGTTTTCCCAGCAGTACCTCACTTGATTGGAATGTTTTAATCTTATTCTTTCCCTTCTTCAACTCATTCCCATGCAGGTATTACCTATTTTTTTTACCACTTGCCTAGACTGTAAGCAGGCTCTCACAACCGTCTTGTCTTGAATTGTACTGTTTACCTTTAATTTGTAAAGCAAAAGTAAATCATTAGTGTTATCTAATTCATGTATAATAATAATAATAATAATACAAAAATAATAATTTGCCAGAAGCATTACAATTTTACCTATTAGTTTAAATATTTCCCCTTTTCCTTCCTTTTCATGGTGCCATTTAATGTCAATTAATTTCATTATTAATATACTGCATGTTACATGTCATAACTTTCCAATTTCATTATCCTTACTGTAACATCATCTGAATTGTTCCCTGTCTGTTTTGTAGTACTAAATGCACAGGACCTGAAACAATTCCCTGAAATCATTGTGGAAAAAATGATTAAAGCATTAAAATTGGAGTCTGAGGAAGCACGACTAAAATTTCCAAGATTGCTTCAAATTATTGAATTGTATCCCTCTGAAACTTTGGACTTGATGACTAGAGAGGTGAGTTAGATGCGTGCATAACGGTCTCAAATATAAACAAATGTTAAGTACTGATTTCTTTTAACCACTTCAAGTCCAGACTGTTTCCCCCACTTTCCAGTACATACCATTTTTCAGTTTTTCAGCACTGTCACACTTTGAACGACAGAGCTGCTGGTCTGGTGACAGTGGTACTTTGTGGCGGCAATCAAGAACACTGCTGGTGGCCTACACTGGTCTGGTGACACAGGGTACTAGTGTGGCAGCAATCGGGGATAACAAAACTGTGTTATGCCATCCACCAATAAAGTGCATATGAATAATCAACAGTGAACATAAGTCCATAAGATTTAATAGTGTTAAGGAACAGAAGTATTTGAACACCCTGCGATTTTGCAAGTTCTCCCCCACTTAGAAATCATGGAGGGATCTGAAATTCACAATGTAGGTGCATTCCCACTCTGAGAGACAGAATAAAAAAAAAATCAGGAAATCACATTGTATGATTTTTAAAGAATTTATTTGTCTTGCACTGCTGAACATAAGTATTTGAACACCTAAGAAACAGCAAGAATTCTGGCTCTCAAAGAACTGTTACTGTGCCTTTAAAACGTCCACCTCTACTCCACTCATTAATCTAACTTAGTAGCACCTGTCTGAGCTCTTTAAAGACACCTGTCCACCCCACAGTCAGACACCAACTACTACCATGGGCAAGACCGAAGAGCTGTCAAAAGACACCAGAGACAAAATTGTGAACCTCCACAAGGCTGGAAAGGGCTACAGGGCAATTGCCAAGCAGCTTGGTGAAAATAGATCAACTGTTGGAGCAATTGTTAGAAAATGGAAGAGGCTAAAGACGACTGTCAGTCTCCCCCGGACTGGGGCTCCATGCAAAATCTCACCTCGTGGGGTATCACTGATGATAAGAAAGGTGAGGAATCAGCCCAGAACTAAAAGGGAGGAGCTGGTCACTGACATGAAGAGAGCTGGGACCACAGTTTCAAAGGTCACTGTCGGTAGAACACTACGCCATCATGGTTTCAAATCATGCATTGCACGGAAGGTTCCCCTGTTCAAGTCATCACATATCCAGGCCCGTCTGAAGTTTGCCAATGACCATTTGGATGATCCAGAGGAGGCATGGGAGAAGTCATGTGGTCAGATGAGACCAAAGTAGAACTTTTTGGTCTAAACTTTACTCATCGTGTTTGGAGGAAAAAGAAGGATGAGTTGCATTCCATGAACACCATCCCTACTGTGAATCATGGGGGTGGTAACATCATGCTTGGGGGTGCTTTTCTGCGAAGGGGACAGGACGACTGCACTGTATTAAGGAGAGGATGAATGGGGCCATTGTGAGATTTTGAGCAACAACCTCCTTCCCTCAGTCAGAGCCTTGAAGATGGGTCGTGGCTGGGTCTTCCAACATGACAATGACCCGAAGCACACAGCCAGGATAACCAGGGAGTGGCTCCGTAAGAAGCATATCAAGGTTCTGGAGTGGCCTAGCCAGTCTCCAGACCTAAATCCAACAGAACATCTTTGGAGGGAGCTGAGACTCTCTAAGAGGCGATGTTGCTCAGCGACAGCCCCGAAACCTGACAGATCTAGAAGAGATCTGTGTGGAGGAGTGGGCCAAAATCCCTGTTGCAGTGTGTGCAAACCTGGTCAAGAACTACAGGAAACGTTTGACCTCTGTAATTGCAAACAAAGGCTTCTGTACCAAATATTAACACTGATTTTCTCAGGTGTTCAAATACTTATGTTCAGCAGTGCAAGACAAATACATTCTTTAAAAATCATACAATGTGATTTCCTGAATTCTTGTTTTTATTCTGTCTCTCAGAGTGGGAATGCACCTACAATATGAATTTCAGACCCCTCCATGATTTCTAAGTGGGAGAACTTGCAAAATCGCAGGGTGTTCAAATACCTCTGTTCCTCACTAAATATGTATAAAGAAACCACAGTGAAAAAATAGCTCAAAAGGATCCAGATAATAGGCAAAATCACCAGCTGTGTACAAACACAATCATGTCTTGCTTACCGGATACTCAGACTTCAAGGAACGGAGGTCTGGCTATGCATAGAGGGACAAAACCCAAATGAATGGCTGGATGGATCAAACTAACATCAATACCTTGACAAGATGAACTTACTACGGATAATGTTAGTATCAAACAAGAAAGAAAAGGTCTTTCAGTGTAGTATTAACCATTTCCATACCGGGCACTTTTACACCCTTCTTTCCCAGGCCATTTTTCAAGTCTCAGCACTCTCACACTTTGAATGACAATTGTGAGGTCATACAACACTGTACACCAACTAAAATTTTATAATTTTCTTCACACAACTAGAGCTTTCTTTTAGTGGTATTTAATCATCGCTGGGGTTTTTATTTTTTGCTAAATTAACAAAAAAAGACTGAAAATTTTGAAAAAAAAAAAACCCACGTTTTTCTTTGTTTCTGTTATAAAAGTTTGCAAATAAATAATTGTTCTCATAAATTTAGGCCAAAATGTATAATTTGTAAAAAAATTTTATTTTAATTTTTTTATTACATTTTATTTTTTTTTTAAGATTTTTTTTTTTTCATATTTCACTTTGACCAAACTAGTACAATGTTACCATAGTAACATTGTACTACTTTGGGGAAGTGATCAGTATTTTTTTTTTGTACACAATTTGCTTATAGCAAAGAATTACTTTTCTATAAGCAAGCATTTACCTGAATGACATCGATTCATTCATGGCTTTTTTTTTTTTTTTTGTGCTTAGCTGTGATTTGGCCACTGCTAATCACATGACACAGCTGGGCTGTGATTGGCCCAGCTTGTGCATGTGATCGCTGTGACCATTCACAGCTAGGCACGCTAGTATACAATGGATGGCAAGAATGAAGCCATCCATTGTATACAACTGTCACAGCAGGTCACATGGTACTGGCAACGGGGCCAGTACTCAGATCTGTCATTGGCCGTGTCCGAGGTACGCATCCAGTGACAGATCGCGCCGCTGCGCAGCTCTGCAGGAGCACAAGCTGCGCATGCCCGGGAGGACGCCATATGGCGTCTACCCGGAACGCTGAAGGATTTTGCCGGCCGCCAAATGGCCATTGGCCGGGTGGCTAATGGTTAAAAGCACCACATTTTATTAAAATAAAAAGGCTGCTCACAAGTGTGTATTAAAATACCGGCAAAATAATATCTCCAGATATGTGTGTGTATGTTTGTTTGTTTTTTTTTCTACGTACTGTCTCCAGAGAAACTGTACTCTGGAGTGGAGGTGTGATGTTGATTTTTTTTTTTTTTTTTTTTATACGGCCATGGTGACTATGTAAACAATCATTTCTGACATTTTTCAGCTGCGTTCATGCAGCCATTGAGAAATACTGTGATAGCTGGCCACAGCTATCACATTGTACAGGGCTGCTGTGATTGGTCCTTTACTATGTCATTGCTGTGAACAGTAACAGAGATCACAGTAGTAAACAATGGAATCATGAATGACAGCCATTATTTACTACTATTTACTGCTATAGCTGTGATTTATCACAGCGATCACATGGATCACTGTCACGGATCCACGATCGCCACCACCAACATGCGACAATCGCACGACCGCGACTAACAGTAATACGTCACGCCCACGGCGTCAGACCCCAGACCTTCTCACCAAACTCGTGATTGAAGGACCGGCCGATCTAAAACCGCGGTGTGACGCGCGTAACAAGGCCACACTCAGCTGCACCCAGCACAGCGATTGCCCAGCTAATGGACTACAATCGGTGCCTGCAGCCTAAATGCGCTTGTTACTGGGCCGGGTTAATTACGCAATTAACCCTCTACTGCCACCACCACTTTTGCTGGAGACTGGGAAACTCCCGTTATCAAATATACACTATAATGATTGAAATATTGATCTATATAGCACGACCCGCGGACCTGCTATACAGAGATATAACAAACAGTAGCGTCTCTTCAAAGGCAGGGATTCGTGAATTGCAAGTAAGCGCTTAGAAACAGTTTAACACTTTCAGAAAGAAAGATTTATTACTAACAGGGTCAAAACAGGTGCAAGACAATATTTACAAGGAAATGTCACAAAAATATATATATATGTATATAAAGACACAGCAAGGAGATAATTAGGAAGAAGATTACAGGGTTAAGTTACTTGCCCATATGCCTGGGTTTGCAGATCCAAGTTATAGAGCAGGGTGAGTTCTTGATCTCCTTTTGTTACGATGTTGCAGGGAGATCTCTGTGTGTGTCAAGCTCTAACTCACTTGTCTCTCTTAAAAGTCCCTCTCAAAGGGGAGGGGGGCTCTTACTACATGTTTTGGGAGTGGTCAGTGGGAAAATGAATTAACTATAGCTTCATAATACATGACATGAAACATACGGTTGACCTGAGGAATGTTCAACTCTCTTTCAAGTCCGGGAGAGAAGCTGTTATCTGTTTTATGATGTGGGGGCTTACACAGTTTTGGGTCAATGCTTCCCAGGACTGCTGGCCCCACCAGGAATGTTTCTCCTGGGCTGACCCCCACCATCTGTCAGGAGATAACGTTTGCCTCTCAGGAAGGGAAAGGGGGGGGATGTGAGGAATGATTGAGGAATACCTCAAATACAGCAAGTTGAAGGAGAACTCCGCTTCCAGCTCGGATGAGCTAGTTTGTTACACAAAAAGAAGGTTGAAGGAGAACTCTGCTCCAACTCGGATGAGCTAGTTTGTTACAATCACGTGCTTCACAGCATCCCTGATCTCTGATCTGAAAGCATGCATGAGCAGCCGATGCGGGAAGACATATGAGTACTTCACCTACATTGACGTTGCTCCTGTCCAGCCATTAACATTGTATGTACATTGGCTGAATGGGGTGTGGTTAAACAGAGGGTATCTGAATTTCACATTTCCATTACACATCAGTGTTAGCTGCAGGGTACGTTACAGGCCCAGAGCCGTGGTCCATCACTTTGGAACTCGTCCCTAAATATCCCATTGGTGGTTTTCCT